TTCGGCATGCTTGTCGACCACGGGGAGTTCATCATGTCGGTCGTTGGGGGCACGCTCGCAATGCCGCAGCTTGTCGACAGGACTTCTGGCGAGTGCTTGTTGTACGCAGAGAGGTTGCGCAGTTGTGTGAGCGATGCGGCCTCGTCGTTCAGGTTCCGAACCCGTGGGATATGCCATGACAGAACTGGGCAGAATGATCGATCAGAGCGTGGATTGATGCAACTCCCTGGCAAGAACGGTTGGCGTCATACTCGCAACAAGTGTGAGTTTCACATCATTGTGGTAGGGATGCAGAAAGCTTTCGGTTTGTATGACATATTGATAGCTGCACACATTCATTTCGCCCTGGTTGTGAACGAGGGCACTAACATGATACGGTTGGGCAGGGTCGTCGTGGAGAAGGTCAAGGGGCTGTTGGGCGTTCGTTTCGGTCGACCTCCACGCGGTGCTCGACAATTTAAGCGTCAAGTTGCAGCCCTCTGTTTCACGGGAGTTTCGAGGGGCGCCGTGAAGTTGTTGCACGCCCACGCATTGCCCAACGGTGATTGGCGAGATCATAGAAGTGTGCAGATGTATCTTCCCCATGGTAGCGTCTACGACAGGGATGCTCTTGACGAGATGGTTGGCAACAGTATCGTTGAGATTTTCTTGAGCGCACTGGCCCCGATTTACAACCGACACCGTCTTAAGAGTTGCAAGGAGAGCATCGGCACGTTCGCGATGTTGGAGCCGATCCATGGGCTGCTGACGCACTGCTTCCCCGAGTTCGCGAGGCGGCTGCGGGTGAACCAGAGGCCTGGTGGCGACGCGGGCGCGCCGCGCCGACGGCGAGGTGCCAATGGACCTGCGCCGGCGCCCGGGGCCGCCGCGCCTGGTGAGGCCGCAGATGGAGGAGGGGGAGGAGGAGGAGGAGGAGGAGGAGGAGATGCGCCAGATCCAGCGCCACCAGGAGCCGCAGTTCATGGCCCAGACGGCGGCGCTCTTGTACCCTACGTCGCGCCCCCTGATCAGGGCCCCCCTCACGGCCGTGGGCCAGATGGTCAGGGCACCAGGCGCGACGAGTTCCGCGCTTCGGTTACCAAAGTGTTGGGCTTGATTGCTGCTTCACCTGATTGGGGGATTGATCTCGTCGTGTTTCGCCAGAGCATGGTGCCATACTCGCGGCTACTTGACGCCCGCACTTCTTCCGTCGGCGAAGATGGTGAACTCCGCAGGAGAGTCCGCGAGGCGAAGGTTTGCATGGGCACGGCATCTGCAGCTGACGCCGATCTAGCTCAGTTGTTTCCTGTTCAGTGCGCGCTCCAGGTGAATGAGAATAGGTGTTTCAGAGACTTGGACTTGCTTCTGGACAGCGAGAGATTGCGGGAGCACGTCGCCCCTCTGAGATGCCAAACAACTCAGCGACGGCTCGATGCATTCAAAGGTTTGGTTTCAACTGCGTGCATCGTCGAATATACCTTGGTGGAAGAGCATTCCTTATATCCGACACGAGTCTTTCTGGCGTTAGCATCCGACGATGGCGCCAGAGTAATTTTACGTGACAGTGGTGATCACCCATGCCTCTTCGACGATTGGACTCGGGAGTTTGTGGAGACGCACAGTGGTGGGCCAGGAGGTCTCAGAGGGAGGGGGCCGCAGTCTCGTTTGAGATTCAAAGCCCGATTGGAGAAAATATGCATTTTGAAAATCGAATCGGTTCATGCAGCCTTCCGCCGTCGGGTCCACGTCAGAGGCACTCAATCCAAAGGCGAGACCTTTCCAGAGCTGTGCGCAGATTGGTTGGTTCAAGCAGCGAGGAGTCGGAGGGATTACGTTGAAGACATCTTGAGCACGACGACGGCTGGTGATGGAGCTGATGGCCAGGGGCAATCACAGTTCCAGCTGGCACCGAATGCATGGAACTTGTTCTGTCGTGAATGCAGTGTCGATACGGTCGGTCGATTCCAGCCTCATCTTCTCAGCCTCGCACGCAGATCAATGGGCGGCGGCGAGCGTGCGAGCTTGGAGGGGCGCGCTCGGAATGCAGCTGCGCCGGCGCCACCTGGCTCTGATCGGATCGGTCGCTTCGGAGGGTCATTCAGGGAGCGGGCCAGGGCAGCGGCGCGGCAAAGAGCGCTGCAGCGCACGCAGCAAGTCTCCTCTGCTCTGGCTTTGCAAGGTGATGACGTGTACGAGAGGAGCGCATGTGAGCAAGCTATTGTGGCTAACACCTTGTCCAATCTAGCTTTGACCACATTGCCAGATATGGTAGAATCGATGGAGAAGGATTTGAGGGCTCTATCTTTGCTTCGAGCTGCTCGTCATCGAGAGGACATGCGATCCCTTGCCCTGTGGACGAACACTGTTGGCGCTCAGTAGAAACAGAAGTTCTTGGATGCGCACCCGCAGCTCGGGTACCTCGCCGACTCCATTGTCATGGTACCGGACAGGCAGGATGTTGTAGTCGAGTATCGTGGTGAAACTGTTCGGTCGGTTTTCGCTAGCAGCGCATTGACTCCAGAAGTGCGGGGTCTTGTTGAGACAGACTTCCAGACTAGGTGTCGTCCGATCATGCGCGACGACGTCCCGAAAGTAGTTGATCCAGCAGAGAAGAGGCAGCCAAGTCTCCTTGCAACGTCATCGGTATGTGCCAGTGCAGTGATCGGGGCACTGAGGTCTATCGCATGCGCAATGCGTTCTTGAGGCGCATGAAGCGCATCATCAACAATGATGCCATGACGGATCTAGTTGACGATTGTTCTGTATTCGTTGAGCTGACTGGCTTCAGAGCTGCAGTTCTGGAGAATGGCGGCGGCGTTGGCGATGGTGTCATGGCCGAGCTCAGCGCCCTCTTCGGGGGCCGCGCCGACGAGCATAATCGGGTCCTGTGGTATTGCATCGGCAACCAGTCTTGGAACCCGTACAGGCCAAATTTCCAGATGATGCGGGTGAGGGCCGACGAATACGAAGGTCGTCTTAGCGATGCTCATGTATTTCTTGAGGTTCGGGGCTGCCACGGGGTCAATCAACAAAGCCTTCGGGGGTGGAGGGAAGGGCGAGACCGAAACATCCAGGCGTTGAGAGATTCAAAAGGTTGGTTATATTACATCCGCTGAAGGTCAAGATTTGGGGTTTGCTTTGACGGGCCCGTAAGGAGGACGATTAGAGATCAATCCCACCAGCCCTCTTCCAGAAACCCCTCCAGGGCGTTCCCTCTTCCAGAAACCCCTCTCCCCGCCTTCTCCCCTGGGGTCTGCCCCTTCCCCCCCCCCCTCCCCCCTCGCCAGCCCCCGCCCCCCCCCCCCCCCCCCCCCCCCCATCTCTCCCCCCCCCCCCCCCCCCCCCCCCCGCACGCACACCACCACCACCTCCTCCCCCTCCCCCTCCGCCCTCCTCCACCCCCCCTCCACTTCCCCCTTCCACTTCCCCCTCTTCTCGTCCTCATCCTTCTCGTCCTACTCCTCCTCCCTCTATGCCTGGGTCTATCATTGATGAGCGATCTGAGTGTTCCGAGGCTGAAGCTGCCCATGACTCGCATTCGGCCTTGCCGTCGGGGTCTCCCACCCCATCCGCCGCATCTCGAAAACTCGACATTGGAAAACTGTTCGGGAGGAGCTGCGGCTAGACAAGTTCGCGATCATCCGAAACACTGGGCGAAGGAACGTGGGGCCACGCAATTTCACGATACAGTTTTTACACCGCGGGGGAGAACGCACAAACCATCGTTTGCCCACCGTCCTCAGCCCAGGCTCCTTACTCCTCCCTCCTCCCTCCACCTCCCTCCTGAATTCTACGTTGTTTTCTATGTGGGGGTAGGGCCTCTCTGGTCAAGCCGAACGCTAAGTTTGAGATGAAGTGCCAGGTTTGAGTTTCGAAAAGGTTTCGGAGCTAGTTCAATCGGCTGGTGTTGCGATGGCTCCCCATCTGAGAGCTTCCAGCAGTACGTGCATATATTGTCACTGGTGCGCTCCTCCACCTCCACTCCTTTCTCCCCCATCGTCACTCCCTGCCGCATCCCATCGTCGCCTTCATCGCCCTCTCCGTCCTCGCCTGCTCGGTCCTCGTCCACCCCTCCAGTCCTCCATCCACTCCTCCATCCCCCCCCCCCGCGACCCACGCCTGTGCGTTGTTTTGTTCGCCCTGCCACCAGTCGAAGGTGGCGCAGGGGCGGTTTCGGGGCTACTTCGGCTTCGCTGACCTCGATCCACCCATGGTCTGGAAGGCCCGTTGGTACCAGGCAGACGACGAGAATCAGTTCCTGCCGAAGTTCATGCCTCGGCACGTGGTCGTCACGCCTTTCTCGGAGAGCGTGACCTGGTGGAATGCCCCGCGGCGTCGCCGCGCGCGCGCGCCTGCGGCTCCTGCTGCTGCCGTTCCTGCGCCCGGCGACGACGATCCCGACGAGGCCGACGTCGACGTCGAGGGCGCCCCCGAGGAGGTCGGCGAGGTCGAGGGCGACGAGGGGCGCGAGGGTGGCGCCGAGGCTCGGGCAGGCCAACAAGCAGCGTTGGAGTCAGTGCCTCCTGCTACACCCTTCGGCCTCCTTGCGGTAAGGGGCCGTTCGGCCCCCATGCCAGTTGCCCCCCCCCTGCTAGACGATTCGGCCCCCTCACACATACCCTTCCCCCCTGTTGGGGTCCAGGGGTGCGGCGAGGGGGGCGCCCTGGGCCATCGGAACTCTCGGGTAATTTGTTGTGTTCCGTTTGGACGGGCCATTGTATGATCATTGGCTCTGCGCCCCGGGACCAATCAACGTTGGCAGGAGTTCTGGAGTGGCCCACAACTCATCTGGCCACCTAAATCATTTTGTATGCCAACCAACCAGCCCGCCAGCCAGCCAGGCCAAGTTGCCAACCAGCCAGTCAGCTATCAGCCGAGTTGCTATTGATCGCAGCAACGGTGAACAGCCAATCAACCAACCCAAACAAGTCAACCAACCCAGCCACGAATGCTGACAATCAACATGGGGACTGTGCCAGGGGCGAAGCCCGTGCGTGATTATTGCTCCGCTCTCTCCTCAGGGGGACGGGGCCCTGGACGAGCTCGACGACGACGCTGCCCTCCTTGCGCTGGAGGCGTTGGAGGAAGAGCTCGTCGACCACGCTGCTGGTGCTGGTGACCGCGGCGTTCCCTTAGGTGGTGCGGGCGAGCCCTCGACTCGAGTGGATCTGCCTGGTGGCTGGGTCCAGTTCTTCCCCACCGACGGCCGCTTCCAGGCGACGTGCGCAGATCCGAGGCACCAGTTGGAAGGGAACCCTTGTCGGATGACACGTCAGAACACGCGTGCGGCAGGGGCCGACACCGCTAGCGGGAGGCCGCGCGGCCTCATGTCCGGGTGGATCGAGATCAGCAGGGACTTCGCGACGCGGGCTGACCACAGGGCAGTGTTCATGGTCATGACCATCCCCCGCGCAGATCGAGAGGCAGCGCGGGGCAGGCTCATGGCCCGCGCTGGCGGGCCCGAGGTCGTCTCGCGGGAGCGCCCGCGGGATATCCCTGGTGGCGAGCCCGAGGGGCCGATCAATGTCCCCATGGGTTGGTGATTAAAGCAATCCTCGCCGATTCTCCTCTTCCTTGTTCCCCCGCACCCCTCCTCCACTTCTCTCCTTGTTCTCACTCTATCTCTTCCTCGCCCCCGTCCTCCTCCCCCTCCTCCCTCCTCGGCCCTCGTCGTTCACGCGCACCCTCGTAGTTCTTCTCTTTCTGCCCCGTGCAGCTTAGTAAAACGTTAGCTCCTATGTCTCATGCGAGTGCTACTTCCCTGGGCGTTGACACTCTGCGTTGTGCCGCTGGTTTCTCCCAATCATCCTGCTCGGCATTTTCGCTTGTCCTTGCCCGAGAGGGGTGGCCCAGCGGGCCCCGATGGCGCACCTGGGAGACAAGTGACAAATGATTTGGAGGAGGAGGAGGAGGAGGAGGATCATATAGAGATAGGAGTGGTGAGGAGGAGGATAATAAGGAATGGCCAACAAGAGCGTGTGGACAGAGAGGCACAACGGATGCGCAGCCGATGCTGCAATATACCCCCCCGCCCGCGGCTTGCTGGATAGACTAAGGATGTTGCAGTGCATCCTTCCGACGTGACGAGAGGTGAGTCCAAACTACGCGGACGGCAACGACTGATGCTGCAATGCGCCCTCCACCTCCGCGCCCAACTTAGTGGGCCCCCTTCCATCCGCGTAGCTGTGCGACGCCTGCGGTGGCCATCCACAGAAAGGGTTCCCCCTTCCATCGCGCCCCGTGGCACGCCGTGCAGGGTCAGGAAAATGTCGCGGAGCGAGGGCCAGGGCTCTGACTCGGGCTCGAATGGATCGGCCATGGGCGTGGAACCCGAGGCCGATCACCCTGGCGAGGTAAGCATTATCTGGAACTTCGAGGCGAATGCTCCCAGGGTGCACGCGGTGTTCCCAGTGAGCGGCAGGGAGCTCGTCCGAGAGTTCACCAAGCAGGAGCTCGGGGCCCATGTATTCCTGGGGGTGTTCGGGCGACCAGGGGATGAATTACGCAGCCACCGATCAATTGTTCCCTCCATCTCGTCTCTCACGCCCTTCCCTGCCCTTCCCCCCGTTCCAACAGGGCGCCCGAAATCTTCTCCTCGTGGCCTTCAGTGCCTCCTCATGTTTCTCACCCTTACCCTTCTGGCCATATCCCGTGTTCTTCGTCTTCCCCCCACATCCTCCCCTTATCTTCGATCCTACCGTAACCGCCCTTCGTGCCCGTCGCACGCACTCCTCCAATTGCAGGAGGCTATGTTCTTCGTCATACTGTACGTAGAGTGCTTGGATGAACATCCAGACGCAGGCTTCCGCGCGCTTCCGAAGACTGGTTTCCTTTTCACACCGGACGAGATTGCCGAGCGCATGGCTCGGCGGCAGCGGCTTCCACTTATCGATCCAATCATTGAGGATGCCATCATTCGTTTGCTGCGCTCCATTCGAGAGGACATGCGGGATTGCAAAGAGAGAGACATATATAGTGTTTTCCCCGACGTGAGGAGGAGGCAAGGAGCCTTATGTTGTTTTCTACACCAAGTCACTTGGTGTAAAAAGCAACATAGGGCTCACCAGCTGTTTACCCCATAGATTGCACCACGCAGTCATTCGCAACGTAGATTGCATCCCGCAGCTCCCATCACCTGTGTTGCACAACATAGGTGGGCCACATAGAGGGAGCCCCAAATAGCGCCCTAGACATCATTCATCACTTCATTGGGCTCGCAACGTAGCTTCGCCACCTAGATTGCATCAGCAAGTTTACGCCGCTTCGAATACGCCAGCCCCGATTCCATCACATGTATTGCACAATCACATATATTGCACCACATTGTAATTGTAAGAGCATTGTCCGTTGCAGTCTGTTGGGCAATCCATGGGCCCTTCTACCCCTCCAGCCCGCTCCCATTGAACCCGCCCAGAGTCTGGGCGCGGATGTGCTGGGGGGGGGGGGGGCGGGGGGGGGGGGGGCTTGGGGGAAGTACCGCAGCCCCCGAGTCCAGGACGAGGCTGCGGACCTGAGGACGACCTCGTGGGTTCGCTCAGCCTAGCTACAGTCGCCGCGGATTCGGGCGGCGCGCCGCGAGGTGCTCTGAGCGACGGCGTTGCCAGACCGCCTCATCTCTCTCCTCCTCGTCGTCGGTCGTCGTCGTTGCCGTCGTCGTCGTTCGTCGGTTTTCGGTCTTCGGGCGTCGTCGTCGACCGTCGTCGTCGTTTCGATCGTCGCACGGGCGTTTGCTTTCTTATGGTAGTTTGGTTTCTTAAGGTAATGTGGTTCCGTCTGGGCCCTAATGAACCAGATTGCCATGATAAACCAAGCTCCCATAAGAAACCAAACTGCCATAATAATCCAACTTACCATGAGAAACCAAACTACCATAAGAACCAAACTGCCACAATAAACCACACTACCATAAGACACTAACCCTTAAGACGCCGACCTACCTTAAGAAACCACATTACGCTAATGAACCAAACTGCCTCAATAACAAATACAATACGGAACCGAGATACCTTCAACACAACAGTACTACCTGGAAGGTGTATCGATCTTGCGCTTCTGCGTTGTACCACCCAAAGGCCCAAGGGGCACTACATAGATTGCACCACGTACCTTATACCATATTATCATACGTTGTGCCACATAGCGTAACCACATGTCTTAACGATGTTAACATACCTTGCACTACACAGCTTAACCAACTAGTTTAACCATCTTCAATAACATCGCCAACACCACGTAGCTTGACCACGTACGCTGCACCATATTCCTAACGTCGCAACACACGGGTATATCCAGACTGCGCGCGCCACTTGAACCAACGCGTGGAACAGCCTCACACAAGCGTCAATACATCCTGTCATTTTGCAACACGCCGAAGTTGCACACATATGATACCTGCTAAGCGAAAGGCAACGTTCTTTATCCCTCGGCGTATACAGCCCCCAGGCCCAACACATGAAATAACGCAATCGTAACCTTGCACGATTGTTCTTCGCTCAAATAAATACAACGCTGTAGCGGTTGACGTCGGTGCATGCATCCGCGCGGGCTTAACTGGTCGTGGCGCAGCGCCTGGCGCCGTGCCCTCGCACCACCGCCATCGTGTGCAGCGCCCTCGCCATGCTCCAGCCAACGACGGCGGAGCCAAACATCACTTCATCATCGCCGCCACCACTCAATCGACATCCATCGCGCCGTTCGGGAAGTCGTGGCTCCTTTGGCCGCGCGTGGCCACAACGTGCCTTCTTTCCAACAGCTTCCAGCGCAGATCATAGCTGCCCCTTTTGGTTCGAAATGCAAGGGGGTCACCTAGGTGACGCGGGTTAGCGACGTTGCAGGGACGTCAATCTTGCAAGTTGTGTGTTCAAAGGTTCACAAGAGGGACGGCGACAGCTACAAGAAGTTCGACGATGAACCCAAGAAGGGGGTTGAAGAATCAACGACTGCGATTGTGGGTTCAAAGAAGCTTGTTGGCACCAGCACAATGGGCGGCGTTTCCACGAAGGGGGGGCCACCTGCGCAGCAATGCGCGGCCGAGCCCCCTTCTTGATCGCCTTCCTGATTTGGCCGCTCGGACGTCGAGTGGTTTGATTGCTGGCAGGCGAACTGCGACGGCGACGCTGGGGGGGGGCGCCAATATTGCAGTTGGCGTGTTCAAAGGTTCACAAGAAGGACGGCGACATATTCAAGAAGTTCGACGCTGAACCGAAGAATGGGGGTTGCAGAATCAACGACTGTGGGGTCCAAGAAGTTGTTGGAAACCAGCGCCATGGCTGGATTGTCGCGCGCAGTGATTGGGTCTGTCAGATTGGGCGTGGTCGGTGCTTCTGATTGAGGTCGCCACCCTGCACTGCCCGCTCGATCCTCGAGCGGCTTATTTGTCCAACAAAGGGCATCGTTCCGTCGCCGCATTTCCGCGCCGACAGCACCGTGGCCTGCGTTGCACACATGGGCCGTGCGACAGCCGAGGGCGGTGTCTGTCGCGGGAGGGTGCCTCCGCCTCGCTTCGCGTGGCTGATATCTCTGTCTGCGGATTGTGGTGCGTAACCCATCGGCCTCGCAGATTGAAGTCAGCGGGGCGTCCCCGCAAAGGGTCTATCCCGTCGTCCGCGCTCGGCGCCGCCCAAAAAAACAATCCCTCGTTGGAAACCTGCGAAGTCGTCCCACCGTGCCCGCTTCTCAAAACAATCATCTGACGTGTCCCACCAGGACGTACGGATTCTGCGCCCCCAAAAAACAATCTGATTCGGCGACGGCGTTTGCGTGGGTCAAACAACAATCTGATTCGTCGATGGCCCGCGTCTACCGCATAAAAAACAATCACATTCGGCGTTGCCATTTTGTTGGCCCATAAAAACAATCAAACACAACAAAAACAATCAAACATACATAAAAACAATCCGGTTTTCGACAATGCTTTTTTTTTTTTCGCATCAAAAAAATCAATATGATTTTCCCATCTACCAAAATGTGGTTTAAAACCAACCAAAGAAAAAATCCCATGTCGCGGGTGACCGCGTAAAACAATCAACGCAAACAATCCCGCGCTGCAGAGCGCGCAACAAACAATCTGACGCACCAATCTGATTGCGATGGCGTCGGCGAAAACAATCAAAACAACAATATCCGTTCAAAGACTTCCAACCGAAAAACTCCTGCAACAATCCAGCCCCAGGACGGCGCCCGTCTTCGAATCTACCTCGTCGTCGGGCGCCCACCTGGGCAGCGCCCCCCCCATCGATCCAGGTGTCGGCGAACCTGCCGCGGCGCGCGGCAAGAACCCCCCCCATCCCTGCGCTGCCAGTGACTGCCAGTGCGGCAATCCCCCGCGCGCGCTGTCCCCCCCCCCATCCCCCGCCCTGCCAGGGCGGCGATGTCCCGCGCGCCCTAAGTCCCCCCCCCCTTCCTGCCACCCCCCTTCCCCCCCCCTTCCCCAGTCGCCCCCGCCGCGCCCCGCGCGCCCTGAGTCCCCCTCCCTGGCGCGCGCGCTAAGCGCCCCCCTCCCTGCCTTGCCAGGGCGGCGAT